TCTAGCGTACTCTGTATAACTTATCTCTAGCGTACTCTGTATAACTTATCATCTAGCGTACTCTACAGAACTTTCCTCTAGCGTACTCTGTATAACTTATCTCTAGCGTACTCTGTATAACTGATCATATAGCGTACTCTGTATAACTTATCTCTAGCGTACACTGTAGAACGTATCTCTAGCACACTCTACAGAACTTATCTCTAGCGCACTTTGTGAAAGTAACTCCAGTGTACCATGCAGAATTGATTTCTAGTGTAATCTGCAGAACTTATATATTTGTATCTTTATATGTATTTGTTTTCTTCAAAAACTGTTTTGGTGATCAAGTTATTGTATATACATACATAATCACGACTACAGCCTTCAATCCATATGGATATGTTTCAATTGTGAGTCATTCATAGTTTATTTCTATGTATAATCAAGCATCGTAAAAATTCCAAGTGGTACACATTTGAAGACAAAATTCCTGTTAAAAATTCCATTTTAAAACTTCCCTGTTAAAATTTCCTTGTCTATATGTTCTTACGGATTCACATTATTCTGCTTATGACTACGGCGTTTTTTCAAACCTGGTTTTACTTATGTGTTAATCAATAAATTCGAAAATCATTGATGTACATTGTCACAACATGGACCTACACATCCCTGCATTAGGTAACGAAATATCGGATTATGCATACTCTTGTATCAAATATGTTTCATCGAGTGTAAAACACATTGCATAATATTATGTAATCGCTATCACTTTATAATAATCTCAAGTTTTCTACTCAACGTATACTTGACCCTCTTACTTGTAGCACTATCTCACGTGATATGTCTGGTGGTTTATTTCAGCACCACTACACGCCTAGTCACCATGAGACTACCACGTGACCTATGGTCGTCATCAAAAGGTGAAAGCAAACCAGATTGTTCTGCTGTTCAGTTGTAAGATGTTCCGAGCACGACCGTATAACTTTGGGCTGAGGATAATCTACAACAGACCAAATACATAGACAGTCTATGTATTTATCATCATTTAGCGAAGTTTTGATAATGTTACCAGGTAAGTCGATTTATTCCGAAGTTTTAAACGGGTTTACTATATTTCTCTGCATTATTTGATACTTTTAACACCTATAAATACAAATACCTGCTACTCATTTTCTGGGTTTCCCCCCAATTATAATGGTATCCAATAACAGCAACATCCTATATCCGGCTATACATTATGTAATCCTTTGAGAGGTAAATGAAATCCTGTATTAAATCTTTTGAACAAAAAGGAGTAGCAGAAAATGCAAAGAGAATAATATGTCCGTATGCTCGTTTTTATGCTATGATAAGTCAAAGGTTTCAGTTTGACAAAATATATGATTTTTAGTCCATTTTGTTTTGTTTTTACCATTTACAGAACAGATTATTACAATATCTTATTATATGTACATATGTATATAAAAAGTAGTATTTTATTTCAAATTATGGAAGTAAAATTTCTTAAATTTTTTAGCTATTTTTGTTACAGATTTAACGTTTGATCTAAAATGTTTTGCTATCATTTTTTTTTTTAAATATTTAATGGATCAAAATAAAATGTGTTTCACTTTCTAAAACAGTCACAAAAGATAGGAATCCGAGTACAACATGTACGTGCTCCTTTTTTGTTCATTGTATTTTTTGTTATCATTCACATTTTTCGGGATCAAAAATTAAAGAATTACAAACAATATATAGATTTCCACTTTGTTTCATATCCATCATATTGAACATCATCAAGTTGTACAGCAAAAAAAAATTAAAAAAAATACCTACAATTAAAAAAAGGCGACACAATGATGATTTAAGTGATCAATCTAGTGTCGAAAAAGTTTTAATATTGGCCTTCCGTGAGGTGCAAGAAATACACATTTTCAAAATATCCGCGGAACTGGAGGTTTTTAAAGTTTAAAAAAAAGTTCTACCAACAACAGGCATCTTCTTTTTTTATAAAGTTTTCAAATGCATGTTTGCTTTAAAAATTGAACATAATTTGTTTAATATTTCAAAAAACCTTTACACGAGATCAAAACGAGACTTAAACGCGATTTAAACCTCATAAGAGTACATCTTTAATATTTTCGGATACCCTTAACTGGTACCAATTCCTGTAAGAATACACCATTGTAGATGTAATACTTATGTATACTTATTAATGTTTAAATACATGTATGTCTACTTAATCAGAAACTTCAGTCAGAAAGTTTTCTTTCTTTATTACAGAATATATTCCGAAGAAAGTCATGCTGGATTCTAGAGAGAGTGAGAGGATTTCCATGCTTCTATCAACACATCTGGAAAGAAAGTTTACGGGAACAAAGGAGGAGGTGGACATCAGGAGGAGGGTAACAGTCTTAGGCGAATATTTAGACCAGATGGAGGTTACATGTGGAAGCCATGGAGAGGGATTTCGTCTAAGAGGTTCAGATATAGACGGAATGCTTGCAGACATGACCGTTGCAGTGATTTACCCTAATCAGTTTATTTCTCGCAATATGGCAAGCAAAACAATTCTTTACATAAGAGAGGCAGACTGTCGCCCTGGCTATGTCCACTTACAGTTCGGTCAGATGGGACAGGGATGTAGAAAACGGTTATTTGATTCACTTGTTAGAGTTGGAAATTCAACGTTTCTTTCCAGTGGTATGTACAGAGAGCTAGCTGTCAATTTTTTCAGTGATTATGCAGGTAAAACCCTAGAATCCAATGGGCCCAGTTGTACAGTAAACTCACATGGATATACTAGTATGGACATTGTTTGGTCTTTGTTTTGTTACAGTTGGCCAAAGGAGGCTAATGAATGGAGGACACGTACACGTCTTTATGGATGGCCATGTCAAACCTTGATTGATAATATTGTAGACAGTGGATTCTTTCTCGTCCCAGTTGGCGATAAATGTTCTGAGAACACATTTTTACAATGGAGAATATCCTTTGCAAAAGCAGAGAGGTCTTTAGTTCACTCCTTTACACACATCCAATTCAAAGTATATGCTTTGCTGAAATATTTCTTAACACAAATAAAAGGCACGTTAGCAGACACCATTGGGGATGATGACATCCTGTGTTCGTATTTTTTAAAAATAGTCATGTTTCATGCAATAGAGAATACCAGCCACAAGTTCTGGCAAGAGAAAAACTTATTTTATTGTTTTTGGTTTTGCTTCAATATACTGATTGCTTGGGTCAGGGCTGGATACTGTCCAAATTACTTCATCCCAACCAACAACTTATTTAAAAGGAAAGTCCATGGACAACATCAGCAAATTCTGTTAGACGTTTTAAACAACTTTTATCAGATGAAATGGATGTGTCTTTCAGTAGGAAACCACTTCGATCCAATATGGTGGCATCTTTGTAATATCTCAAATCAAGCTGAACTTTTACGTCCCAAAACCGAGCAGGATATTGTTTTCCAACAGGATATAAATATTATTGACTCTTTAAGATTTAATAGTGGCATTGCCAATCGAACTACCCTGAGGAAAGCACTCAAGGTACTATCAACATCGAAGTCAGATCTTGATGAATTTTTCACATACCATCATATTACGGAATACCTTTATAAAATCGCATCAGATCAGATTTATCCAGATCACGTGATTGCTACAGACAACAAGACCAGGTACAGAAGTCTAAGGAAATGCAAGCACTGGATGATTCCCAGAGCATCAATGGGTACAGAACTGTTGTATTTGGCAACGTGTCACTTTCTCCTAGGAACTTTCAGTAAAGCTCTGGATATGTGCAAGCAAATGACAAAACTAGCATCATATTTTACACTAAGTTATCCTAACCTGCATACTTTTGGGTATTGTCAATCTGGTCAGGTATTGGGTAGACTGCAACAAATCTTCACAGCCGAGTTATTTTTTCATGATCAAGGGATTTATCTTCCTCATATTTGTCTGGAAATGAAAAGGCCCACAGAGTACCCACCACTGCCGTATGCTGTGTTCCTGTCCTTTCTGTGTTGTCATGAGCTTGGAGACGCCAGAGGACGTGATGCAGCATTACGCCAGCTGACAGAGGTCCAGTGTGATACTATTCAAGGAGGACACAGATACTGGATAGTCCACACTTTCCTGGGGATCTGTTACCAGATGCTCGGCGACAATCACAGGGCCATCAGGGCTTACTGGGATTCAGCACAATCAAAGGCTATTTTTCAAGGGAAGAATCCCGCCATGAAGAGAATAGCTATAGTTTATCTATGTATGTATGCTTCACATAGGTCTGACAGAGGATAGTTATGGTGTATGTATGTTTCACAGAAGTTTATTATACGATAAACGGACAGAGGATAGCTGTGGTGTATCTATGTATGTATGTTTGTCTCACAGAGGTCTATAACACGATAACCGGACAGAGAATAGCTATAGTGTATCTATTTATGTATGGCTCACAGAGGTCTTACAGAGGATAGCTGTGGTGTATCTATGTATGTATGTTTGTCTCACAGAGGTCTATTACACGATAACCGGACAGAGAATAGCTATAGTGTATCTATTTATGTATGGCTCACAGAGGTCTAACAGAGGATAGCTGTGGTGTATCTGTGTATGTATGTTTGTCTCACAGAGGTCTATTACACGATAACCGGACAGATAATAGCTATAGTGTATCTATTTATGTGTGGCTCACAGAGGTCTAACAGAGGATAGTTATAGTGTATCTATTTATGTATGGCTCACAGAGGTCTAACAGAGGATAGCTGTGGTGTATCTGTGTATGTATGTTTGTATCACAGAGGTCTATTACACGATAACCAGACAGTATATGTCTCATGGACATTTGACAGAGGATAACAGTGTTGTATATACGCATATCTCAAAAAGAATTTTAACAACTCATTGCCCATAACCTTTATTAATTTTGATAAGAAGAGATGAATACAAAAGTGAATTAATTTGTATGTACGTTTAATGTCGATAGGTATTGTATTCAGATCAACTGGTTTGTTCAGCTTTGTAAATATTATCAGTTATACATGTACATTAAACAATGTCATCATAAATACATTTGTATGTCTTTGTGTATAACGTTACATTCAGTTATGATTTGGGGCAGATATAATTATGTTAAGCTCACATATTTGAATCAATTCAATAAATAGTAATAATATCCAATTTGTTGTGCTTGTTTTAACTTTAGTGATGGTTTGATATTTGAGGTGTACAGAACAGTTCAGATCTTTATATTTTCTCTCTACTTCAAAGAAACCTATTTCTTTCCTGGCACTTCGCTCGGCAAAGACTCCCATTTGGCCTTGGTTTTCAACGTCCGCCCAAGCGGGGTAGGTAGTTGTTTTGTTCCCAAACTGTCTAATATGAGAGGCGTTAAAATGGTAGTTGGAATTCCCTGCTAATCGATCAGCATTCAGGGCATTGTTGATATTTCAGAGGTTACGCTCTCTTACGTTCTCTGCACTACCGGAATATGTGATGACAGATTCGATGAAAGAATCCCACGGCCGACTTTGAAGTCGTGTGTAGCGCTTTTGTAATCTTAAAATGACAGGCACAAGTCTAGGAACTTAGCAGTTTTGTTTTTTTACCCGAAACCAGTCAATTAGGTGGCCGCATGCCGTCAATTTTGCCATGAAATATTCCAGGGGTGCAGAGAGTGTAAGTGTGTGTAAACACTGGAGAAACAACTATACATTTAAGGGTACCCACATCTATTGGTTCGCCCATTCTTAGTATAGTGTGACCAAGTGGAATACCGGGCTGGATACCTTTGGCATGGTAGCATTTAACTGACTGCATCCGATCCGAACTACCATAAGGAGGCAAGTACACCAACATACAACCTCAAAGATAAACACCACACACATGGTGTAATTTGCTTAAATGGCCTTACCTGTAATTCAGACGTTAAACAAAAAAAATATGTACAAATGACACCATTCTGTAGTTGAGGTACATTGTACATTATTTTTGGTACACAGAACACCCTCAAGTGGTGATACAGTGTGTGTGGTACACAGAACACCCTCTAGTGGTGATACATTGTGTGTGGTACACAGAACTCCCTCTTGTGGTGATACATTGTGTGTGTTGGACAGAACAACCTCTAATGGTGATACATTATGTGTGGTACACAGAACTCCCTCTTGTGGTGATACATTGTGTGTGTTAGACAGAACAACCTCTAATGGTGATACATTATGTGTGGTACACAGAACTCCCTCTTGTGGTGATACATTGTGTGTGTTAGACAGAACAACCTCTAATGGTGATACATTATGTTTGGTACACAGAACTCCCTTTAGTAGTGATACATAATGTTCTGTACATATAACACCCTTTAGTTGTGAAACATTGTGTTTGCTACTCATAACACTCTCTAGCGGTGATACATTATGTGTGGTACACAGAACTCACTCTAGTGGTGATACATCATGTTTGGTACACAGAACTCCCTTTAGTAGTGATACATAATGTTCTGTACATATAACACCCTCTAGTGGTGAAAGATTTGTGTGGTACACATAACACCCTCTAGTTGTGATACATTATATGTGGTACACAGGCCACACTCTAGTGGTGATACATTGTGTGTGGTACACAGAACAACCTCTAATGGTGATACATTATGTGTGGTACACATAATTCACTCTAGTGGTGATTCCTTTTTTCGTGGTACACAGAACAACCTCCAATGGTGATATCTGCTGTGTGGTACATATAACACCCTCTAGTGGTGATACATTATATGTAGTATACAGAACCCACAAAATCCTCCAATTCCGTCTTTGCGTATTGCAGAGTTATCTTCTCTTGTGGGCAGGTATTGATTGTTACGTCACTGGTTGGTGTGAAAACAATACATCGTTTTCTCAAAAATTGATGACGTTACTCTCACAAACCAATGACGTAACAATCAATCCCTGCTCACAAGAGAAGATAACTCTGCAATACGCAAAGACGGAATATGGACACTCTGTTTCAAAGGTTATTTTACAGTTGTTTTTAGTAATCTTTAGATCTGTACATATTTTGATGTCTCCGGATTTACCATCACATCAAATCCATCAATGGACAAGTTTGATCTTCAAATCTTTTGATTAAAAAAACGTCAAAATTGTTTGAAAAATAATTTAAAAAAAATTACTGGTCATTATCAGTATGATTGCGAGTCAATAAACATATCCTAACAAGGAAACCTAAACAGGAATTTTTAACGACGCTTGAATTGTATACCACTTATACTACACTTTGTACAAGTATGTTTCACGATTACATAGAATACAAGGGCACTACGGTTCCCACCCACATACAGACCCACTGCTCCCTACCTCCAGGGCCAACAAGTAGATGAATAAAAGTTGATGACATTGATTCATAATTGTTGCATAAAAATGTTGATAATTAAACACGCTATATGATTTTATATTTGTGTATTAAATCAGTGGAATAAAACAGAAGTTATGTAGAATATTAGTATGAGACGTTCAACATTTAACATGTTAACTTTTTTTATATAAATACAACTGATTAGTACATAGGAAGGAACAAATGTAGTGCAAAGTAAAAATAAAAACAAAACTGCAAACATAATTTTGAAAGGGGATATAGAGCATCAGAAACCACGTTTGTAGGTACACTTTATGTGTAGATATAGTTAACTGTTACGTAGATTATCGCTTAGGTTGTTACCGTTTCATCCGTTATTTAATTTAAGAATATAATCAGATAAAGCTACAATCGGGAACCGTCGGCACTTTCCGTAAACGATAAATATTTGCAAGTTTACAGAAAGTGTCGACAGTCCCCAAATGATAAGCTTGTATGCAATCGGGAACCGTCGGCACTTTCCGTAAACGAGAGAATGTTTTCTCGTTTACGGAAAGTGCCTATATCGCATGCGCCTAGTTGGTAATTCTAGCCATTAATATTTTAGAATACATTTTGCGATTTCTTGATCTAATAAAACAGGATGTGTACGCATCAGGTAAAAACAATCCAAGATCACGGAAAACGCCGGCATTTGAACGGTGTCCACATAGACTGCGGTTAAGAAGAAATAGAGGGGGTCATTAGATTTTTTTATCAATTCAAATGTATTATCACGTGGTTGTGTTCCTTTCAACATTTTTATTTGTGTCTATGATATACAATGTAAACCGATCCCAAATCAATATGCTCCAGTGTCCAAGCCACATCAAATACTTACAAATAAATTATCTCAACTGTCAGCAGAGTTTTTTCCCTGTTTTGTGGGAAGCATTAATGGAAATTTCGAGCGTAGTTTCATTTACAAATCCTTCCTTATAGCACTTGCTCCAGAAGTGCCCAAATGTCAAATAGTCATCCAATAGTTCAGATGCCTGGTAGTTTGAAGGCGCAATAGCCCTGAGACTTGTAGCCCGAAGGTCCAATAATCTAGTGGTAGGCCGGTAGTCCAAATTCTCAATAGTCCAGAAGTCTGGTAGTCCGAAGGGCCGATAGTCAGAATTTTCAATAGACCGGAGTTCAGGTGGTCTGAAAGCCAGATAGTCAAAATTTTCAATAGTCCAGAGGTCTGGTAGTCCGAAGGCCCGGAAGCGAGAATTCTCAATAGTCCAGAGGTCTGGTAGTCCGAAGGCCCCCGATAGTCAGAATTCTCAATAGACTGGAGTTCTGGTAGTCCGAAGGCCCGGAAGGGAGAATTATCAATAGTCCGGAAGTCTGGTAGTCTGAAGGTCCGAAAGTCAGAATTTTCAGTAATTTGGAGGTCTGTTATTCTGAAGGTTCATGGCCAATAGTCAGAGTTCTCAATAGACCGGAGTTCAGGTAGTCTGAAGTCCCGGAAGTCAGAATTTTTAATAGTTCGAAAGTCTGGTAGTCTGAGGTACCGGGAGCCGGAATTCTCAATAGTCCGTAGGTCTAGTAGTCTGAGGGCCCGATAGTCAGAATTATCAGTAGTCCGGAGTTCGGGTAGTCTGAAATCCCGGAAACCAGAATTCTCGATAGACCGGAGTTCGGGTAGTCCGAAGGCCCGATAGCCAGCAGACTCAGTATATATAAAGTCTTTAGCTCTGTGAGTCATAGGCTCGATTGTTCGTTACAGTTACTTTATTTTAGCAAGGTCATGTTTTTTTTCTTGCTTTCTTTCTTTTATTTAAAATATTTTCGCGACAGCAAAATAGTACAAGTACCGAGCGTACACCGATTCAAGATAGTGTGAAATACATGTTCGTACATTGTGTATAGATGTGTAATGATGAACGTCAGACACACGTCTGAGTACACCTATAGAAACAAACATGAACTCATCGGTGGTGCTTGGGGCCCGAAAGGGGAAAACCCTAAGTAGTTTAAACTACTCTTGAAATAGAAATATTTTGACGAAAATAGTTTGCACATGAGTACGCTTTGTAAAAACTACACTATATAGGATTACATTGGCCAGTCATTCATGTATGTCAGTCTAAATCTATTTATCCGTATACGTAAAGCTGTTTGGAGGTAATAAGATTTTAGATAAAAACCCAACCGAAACTGTAACAGAAGGCCCCAAACTGTGGCCTCATTTGGGGTGTAAGGGTACGATGCGGATTTCCTTGGCCTAAACATGCCCCAGACCTGATTTGGTTAAAAACCCTTTACCGTTATTGTAGGTACAGCCTTTTCAGAGTTTACCTTTCTTTTCCGTTTATATAGAGCCCGCCATCTTCGTTCCCAGGGGATTCAGGTCTTCCTTTATACAACGGTCAGACAGTTCCAACATATTAGAATCGGTAATGGTGTAGTTTTAGCACAGATCAAAGAGTTTTAGATTTTTGCACCCCGAGGAAAGAGTTAGTGTTGAATGTTACATAATAGTGAATGAGATGTTAAATTTACAGAATATCGTTTCAATATTAAACGCTGGTGAAAGAAGAGTTTTTAAATCAACTTTCTTTTCATAATGTCCTTACTTTCGGTAACTTTAACAATTCCTGTCTAACTATAAAGTGGTTTTTAGCCCAAAGGGCCAGTGAGCTTATGACATTGTGCCATCCGGCGTCAATGTTTTCTTTAAACAACTTCTTCTCAATAACCAATTGGCCTATGCTAATGTTATCATCAAGCTGGACATCCATGTATATACACGTATATGGTAGACTGTAGAAACTATACACAGCCATGTTAAATTGTC